CTCTGTGCGATGTTTAGGTCATGAAATAGTGCTACAGGTAATATGGTTTAATGCACTTTGCAGAAACTCCCCTAATTTTGATCTCGCTCAATATGATAATCAGAATCCTGTTTAGCCGAAGGGTTGCTATTTTTATAAAAATACATGTACTGACCCAAGTCTCGCTCGATTAGACAAATTCGGGTAACGTTTTTTTATACCCAATTCACAACTTTATATAACCCACATGCCTAGTTACTATTGTTCTAGATTACTAAAGCATAAAATAGAACAAAGGTAACTAACTCTTAATACATAAGTTTAATGTTTAGTTACTGTTGCTCTATTCAGTCCATGCTTCTGTAAACTAGAACAATAGTAACTAGGCATGTGAGTTATCCAAAGCTGTGAATTGGGTAGCAACGATGTAAACAACGTTAGCCAAATTTGTCTATTGGCTTCGTTTTTTTATAGAATCTATCCACTGATCTCATATTGGCAGGATAGACCCAATTGAAAATGAAACTGATCTAATAACAGACTGGATAGTCATGTTTGTCAGCTGTTCCTGGGTAGGATTAAAGTGCCCTGCTCTGGCAAGTATAAGTTCACTCTCGTTGATGGTAAGCCTCGTGAGGTGACAACTTCTGAGGTGATTACAAATGTCTTCATTATACTCAACAATTTATACAACTTCCTGTACTCCCCGGCCTCTTCCACATGCAAAATTCCCCAGGCCAGCAAAAGAACAGCCCCCCCCACGACTCAAGCATGCACAAAGTAAAAATAAGAGCTGCCGCCAAAAATAATCGGCAAGCCAGCCATCCAGCTTGCAGTTCCACCCGCGAGAACGTAGATTTCAAAGTCAAAATACTAGAACCCTCCCACCCCCGCCCCCGCGGTCCATCGTCCCCTACTGAATTCCCGCTACTGCAGCGGTTAACAAATTATAGGGAAATACGACGACATAAGTTAAATTTCGAAACCTCCACGCGTCCACATGCAGTGAATCAAACGAAAAACGCACTCCTAGTTACAATTATTCAATTTACTACAAAAATCAAAGAAAACTAAATTTTATCGCCATATTTCTCCATAATTCGGCGACCGCTACAATATTAAATACAAAACAAAATAGTAAATGCAACAGACTACAAAAGCGGAAGTGGGAAGGTTGTAGTATTTTGACTGCAATTATGTACAAAAATATGTTGCATCCATGCAGAAAGAATTAATGTCCGACTTTTCTAGCAAAATTTCCATTTACAGGGACAGATAAAGATTACGAGACGAGTTAAATAGAAAAGTTAATGCACCGAACACTTTTACTGCCAGAGATACTGACAGCTTTGAAATTTGCTACAACCACAGAAAGTACCGCCCGTTTATATTTTAAAAAGATATTTAACAGTTGTGAAATTATTCATGTGAATAAGCCAAGAATGGTTAAGGTTGTATTTTGAATGTTTCTATGTTGTGAATTAGAACCTAGATAATAAACCAGCTTATTTAACTTTTTAATTATTACTAGTGTCGCTGATCAGCGAACACGCGAATGTAAACAAACAGCTAAAAATAGGCCCAATTTGGAGATTTATAACTTTTCAGAAAATTGTTTGCAGACGAGTTTTATTCCTGATTACTTAACTTTAGTAGGTATAATTTCAAATTACATGCCTTTTGAACTTGAGATAAGTGCCACTTTTGAGCTGTTTTAAGTAAAATATGAGCAATTTTCAGCCTCTCGTCGCCATCTTGAAAACATAGTTTTGTAAAACTATAAAAAAATTGGATTAAGCAAATAAAGTTGTTCAATTTCCATAAAAACGAGAGTATTAGTTGTTAATCTGCATGTGAACAGTAACTGGAGGGGATAAACGCATCACAACGTTTTCAAAAAATCAGATGAATTCTTGTAAAATTACCCTTCATTTCCGGTCTGAAAATACTCTCGCAAGGTCAAATTTCAACATGGGCTATAACTCCTGTAAAACAGAAAGTTGAAACGTTCTGAAAGAAGCTCGATTAATATTGACCAAAGTCTAGTTCATATGCAAAATATGAGCTAAATCTATTTTTCCTTCCCCAAACCAGTGGGTGGATTTTACTGAGAGGCCCTCTTAATATTCCGAAAAGCAGGGCTTCCCATAGTCGGTGTAAGAAGATATTTCAGACACTAGGAGTAATTTTAATGAGTAATTTGAGTAATTACTTGAGCAATTTTAATGTTCCACTAAGCATTAAAATTGAAATAGTAATTTTAGGGGGACGATGACGAGAAAAACCTCAACCGTTATCGGGATCAGCAGGCAGCTGATCAGGCACAGCCACACCAGTTTCCGTGGTACCTTCATCATTTTGTTTTTCATATTTTTTTACCGCTGCGCAGACGTAACCGATCTGAGTATGTGCGCTCATCGTTATGTCTCCTCGTTCAATGCCAATACCCAAGCTAAACATTTTTCTTTTCCGGTGGTTCTTGTTGTACTTCGCCCCGTTTGTGATTTCAGGTTTTGTGGACAAGCATCCCATTTTTATATTTTAACCGGAAAATAAAATGCTATTTAACATGATTATCGTACGTATGATCTCGTCCAGGAATTGAAAACCACGTTTTTTCATCAATTTGAAAATATATTTTGTCCCACCTAACACTGGAATAAGACCTACGACCAGGATTTCATTCACGAGGATGATAGTTTCTTTGTCATTCCCTGCCGACAGGACGACGTGGAGAAGTATCTTAAATTTGTCGCTGATTTCACAAAGGGAAAGGAATCCCTCATCATCCTGGACGACTGCGCCAGCACCAAGTCCGTGAAGAATCGTACGGAGGAGCTGGTTGATCTTGGGTTTAGCGCACGTCACATGAGTATTTCCACCATCGTTATCACTCAGCAACTGACTTCCATTGCCAAATCATATACGCTCATCTTGAGGTAAACCTGGTTCATCCGTTCAATCACGAGGTAAAGATTCCGATGTTATAATAAAAGATATGGAATCGAAATTACCGACCATCGAAGAATCCGCAGAAGAAACAGAGATTGAGGACCACAGGGCGGAGCTTATTCGCCTGTCCAACGCGGGAGAGATTACCCAGTCTGAAAAATATCTCAGGAAAGCGTCTGACAAAGTCCTCGCGAAAGTCCGGAAGGACTATATCGTTGCACAAAGGGAAAAGGTAAACATCCTGCTGACGGAAGCCCTGATTGATAAATTTTCCGGTCTTATGGAAGCCATCAACATGGTGGACAGCGGGGAAGAGCTAAAGACGGAAGTAAATCAGGACAAAACTGTCCAGGAGTGATGTCTAAAGCGTGGTGGGTAAGCTGTCCCCATACATACCCTATCTGGGGATCGTTAGCGGAAGAGTGACGACCGTAAAGCATGTTTACCGAAGAACACCCGAACCACCACCTTCCGAAGAAGAACCAAAGACCGACATTGACAACTAAGTATGGAAATTTTCCACACTCTTTTGGGTTTGGAAAAACCGTGATCCCTAAATATTTTTTTATTATTTTAGTACTGTACTCCGGCTAGTTGTCCGTTTTCAATTCCGATAACACCGTCAGAAAGAACGAACATGTGACATACGACGTTCGCAGTTGTAGCTTTTTTCGTGATTTCCACCAGTATTCCAGACTGAGTGTTTTGAATTTTAGCCCGTTTCCAAATGTGCTGACATCGTTTACGGTTCTGACATCGATGACCAACGCGAACTTTTTGTCTTTGAAAAAGTTGGTTAGCGTTTGATCACACATATTGTGTGGAGCGTAGAGTCCGTGATCTTTTAGGATTTTACCGATTCGGATTCTTTGTTTTGTTCCAAATACTTCGAACAATGCGGCGGCATCCACATCGTCGTTTACAGCATCGTCTTTGGATATTTTCTTCCTTGTGGCTTCGCTAGCGATGCCATCCTCCACCATGTCGTCACGCTTTTCTTGTATAACCATAGGCCCTAAAAGACCTCCCACAAACTATCTCCGTTGTTATCGTAGACTTTTTCTCCTGCCAGGCGAATTTCCAATCTCCTTTGGAGTAGTTTTCCTAAGTTGTTTCTGAACCAGGATTTTGTGTTACTGTTCTTAAAGTCGAAGACAAGGGTCATACTGTCCGGTACGAGAACGTAGTCGGCTTTTAGTTTTGGAATATTATCAAAAATTTCTTCTTCGGGTCTGGGAGAGTTGGGGTTGAAGGTTAGGACGTGTCGGTCCTATCTCTGGTGATTTCTGCCTTGTTCATACGTCGGAAATCAGGCATAAGTTCAACCGTTCGGTTCATTATGTTTTAGTATAGTACAAAAGGATATTTATTTTTTACGTCTATTTTGCAAATACCTGAATATAGCCCGGCAATTACGATCGCCACGATCCACAAATTCTGGGCGAGGAAGGCAAGACCCTTGGCTCCCCAACTTAGGATCGTACTTAACATGTTTAAAATAGGTACCAGAATTGGCAGTGCAGGTTTAATTTGCAAACTTTGCCAACGCTTTTCCGGCAGCTCCAAGTCCATTAGCTGCTCCCGTGATGGTCTTCTTTCCGGCCACACTACAGTCGTAATAATTCCGGCAATGGAGATGGCAATGGCAGCTAACGCCCCCATGTATTCTTTTGCCCACACGTGGAATCTCTCAAATTTTGTTCGGATGTTGTCCCTTACTATTTCCCTGTACCTGTGTGTTCCCTCTTCCGACCTACGTACCTGTCCCATTTCCAGCCTTGCATCATCGATGGCCTGTTCGGCAACGTTCACCGCCCTCTGTGTTATCTGTCGTCTATCGTCGTCGGTTTCTTTTTCCAGGTTATTTTTCCATTCCTTTATCATAATGTCCATGTGTTTGATTCTTCCCTTCGGCCGTCCTTTAGGAGCAGTTATTCCTGCAAATTCCCTTCTTTCCTGTTCGGTTATTTTCCTTCACTTTCCAATCTTTCCGCTTGTTCCGCAAGGTTATCGCTTGCGTTGACAACGTCCTGGTGAAATTTCTCCTCGGCGTTTTCGTAGGTTTCCTCCGCGTTCTCCTCTAGCATGTCTCCTCCGGTCTCCTCTTCCACCACGCTGCGGACTTTTTCCTTGTGATCGATTAGTGCTTTTTCATATAGCTTTTTGAATTGTGTCATGGACCCGGCAGATTTTTTATTTCCGGACATTCTGAATGCACCACCAGTATCAATGTACCCGATAACGGTTCCGTCGAACGACAGCTTATGTTTAGTTATGTCCAAACGAGAGATAAATTCCCTGGAATTTTGTCCGTCGGTCGGATCTGTTCGGTATTCGCTACTCAACAATTCTCTGGCAAACTCTCTCTTTATGTCATTAAAAATTCCGGTTAAGTACAGTTTATCCGTCTGCGCTTCTTCCTCCTTCTGTATGTGTCGTCTTTGTTCTCTTCACGGAAACTAGAGGCTTTTGCTTCACTTAGTCCGTCAACTGTTTAGTCGAGGTGATCGAGGAAATCGTCTTCGTCAATTACCGTTTCGTCCTCACCTCCTTCGGCTCCACCACTACCTTCCTCACCTCCTTCGGCTCCACCACTACCTACCGGTCGTTAGACAAGTCATTCATCTCCACTGTTTCCATTTTTATTTAAGTCTAAAGATAATTCCTGTTCGTAATATCTTCCTAAAATGTCTTCCCCATCCTCCGGATCCTTAAGGCTGGACATGTTGGGATCTCCCCGAAACACCTCCGTGATGACATACATCTCGTTGTCAAAATTGGGTTCGTATCCCTTTTCGAACGTTTTATGTTTTATCTCCACCCTGACGTGATCCCCGACTTTGAACTTGGGTTTCGGAAAACTGTCCAGTGGATATCCATAAACCCTTGTCCAAACTTCGTCCTTGTTCTCCTCGTTCACATTCGCCGGTTTCATCCCGATCGTCCTGTGCGTGGAATTATTATAGGATTTGACGAAGGCAGGTACAACGTCCACCCAAACTTTCGTTTGCTTTCCGTAAAATATTTCCACATTCTTGTTTTCAAAGTCCTATTAAATCTCTCGACGAGTGCAGCTTTCTCGAAGGTTCTCGTGGAAAAGTAATGGACATCGTGATCCTTTAACAACGTCTTTACTCCTACATTGTAGAATTCCTTTCCGTCGTCGAATTGTGCTGCTTTCGGATATCTGTCAAACCGTTCCTTAAATTGTGCGAGTACCTTTTCAACGGCTTTCGTCATACTTTCGGTATTTTTTCGCCAGACGGGAACGGCAAAGGCGTACCGACTCAGAACTTCTATGACAGTCAAAATCCAACCAGTCAATCCCTTATTCTTGTAGCTGAATTTGTTCATGTCCACAAGGCCCATCTGGATCTGCTGTGCAAGTCCGTCCACATATGTCCTTTGGGTTTTGTAATACTTCCTGGATGGTTTGTGAATGATGTACGTGTTCTGCGTTTGTAACCATTCTCTGACGTTTTTCCTGCTGACACCCGGTACACCTTCTTCCCCTGCCTTTTGATATAGTTTTTCCATCGACATGTACCCACCGTTTACGTTAAAATATATTTCTCGAAGAGCTACATCCAATTGCACACTCATTTTATTATCGGTAAAAAAAACATGAAGAAGATAACGACTTACATCAAGGACGGTGGATTATTCTAAATCTTCGGGATCCCCTAATCCTTACCCACGAATCCAAACTTTTTGTAAAAACTGCCGCTGTGTTTTGGAATTACAAAAACATTCGCGCGGGTTACAACGACTACATTTCCGTAGATGGAAAGAAAGTTATTATGGATGAAGGATATTGGACGTTTAAACAGCTACGAAAAAAGATGGAGGAAAACGGACTGACGTTCAAGGAATATCCAGACGGAAGGGTAAAGATTGACCTCGATAGCGGGACAAAGACGGTGGGACTTCGGAATCTCACGGGGATTTTGGGATACCAATCCTCCAACGGTCCTACATACACCCCACACATCAGCGACCGTCCCGTAGATATTCACAATGGTTTGCGATACATCACGGTCAGCTGTAATCTCGTGAACCGTGAGCACAACATCGGACCAGACGGAAATCGAAGTACCATCATCACCTCCCTTCCGATCAACGGGGCCAAGCCTCTTTTCGGAACCGTGACCAAGTACAATGACATCGATATTCAGGCATGGGTGAATGCTGGAAGGTACAACGAAATCGATATCCGGTTTAAAATCGGATCCAACACCGGAGTTGTTCCGGGAGATGTTTTGTTAGAACCTTACATCAAATAAAACAATGAGTGAGGATATCTTTCGCAACTACTACGGAATGAGTTATAAGAAAGTGAAGGCGGCAACGCCCATTGAAATCCGGAAAATGAAAGAAAATTTTAGAAAAAAGTATCCCAACGCAACCATGTCCAAATTTGACTTTGAGGTTACCTTTGCCAAGGACGGAACCGTGGAGTCCAGAGACATATTTTTTTAAGGTGGACGACCTCACAAGCTATGACATTAAATCTGATACGTTCCGTTTGAATCCTGAATGTAATACATTTTTACACTGGGTGGATGGATGGCGAAGCGTTCTTCCGGACATGATTTTTCGTCCGAACAAAGATTTTAAAATGAATGTGCACAGTTTCACAGTTTACGTCACGGAGATCGAAAGTTTCGTAACGAAATTAGATCCCATTAAACCGACGTACAACAAGCCTAAGGGTACCTTCATCGATAAGCTGTCGTTCGACTACCATTCCAATTCCTACTTTTGCTCCTTGGCCGCAGCCTACATCGCTACGTTCAAGTGTGGAATTTCTGAGGATCATCTTACGAATAATCGTCCCGACTCACACTCCAACATAGTAACTTCCATCGTTCGCTTTCATCTCCATTTTCACCTTTCAAGATTAAATTTATGCATAGTCCAAACTTCTGGATCAGTACATTATGAAAGATGATATGACAACCATCCGAAAATTCATACCCGTTCATGAAACGTGGAAAAAAAAGAACGGACTCCTCCCATGCAAATCTCAGAACGTGGTACTACGACAAGCTGGTGGACGAACGAAGAAGAATAAGACGTCAAAAATACCATCAGACTAAATACGGTGGAACATTTATCGAATACGAGTAATTAACCGGCAGGTCCCCTTACGACGTTAGAAATGATTACAAGACCCTTATCCCTAAAAAATCCCGAGGATTAACCAGAGTTGGACAAAAGCTATTCCAACAGTTCATCGAGGCTTTCGTTTATTCAGTCCTAGGGGCGCAGGCTAAAACCCGATGGAGTATTACGGGACAAGGCGTAAAGAGTTTACGAACGCAGGAAGTCTTTCGGAAGGTGGTGAAGGACACAATCGTTCAGGACGATGTCACGGTCACCATTTCCAACATGTGGACGGCCATTTCCATTACCCACGTCATCCTAAATTTTGCAATTATGCCAGGTCTAATCCTAATCCCTTCGGACTTTTAAGGATTCTGACGAAACCCATTCCGGGATTCAGCAATGTCCTGACAGTGGCTAGAAATGGGATGACGTTCGGAAAAAGTGAAAAAGTTAATCACACCGGAAAAAACCTGTCAAACACTTAGTACATAGTACCGATCTAAGTCCGAATCCCAGTCACAACATCACACCAATTCCCACCGCGGAAGATCTTAAACCACTGGTAGGGAATAAACCAGCTCTAAGACAGAAGTCCGACATTCAGAATATTGCCCTTGGTATGATAGCGGTAACATCCTTCGGACTTGCGTATTTGGTACTTCGACGTTAAATAAAAGAACAATGAGCATCTTATTCGGATACGATTATTTTAACGAAACAAAACCTATGCTGGAACGTCTGGAAAATAAAATAAATCAGACGGACAAAAAACAAACCACCACCACCGCGGAAGTAGCATGAAATCACAAAACTTCATAGCATAGGGGGTCAGTATGCCTGGTACAGATTTCCGAATTCCATTGCCTATCCACCGAACAGCTATAAGACGGATGAGATTTCCAAATCCGACGTGGACAATATGAAATTTATAGGATTTGCCATGACTGATGGATCTAACACAGCTCCAACCATGGGTGCACCGCTTAGTTTTTTCACTAATTCTGCCGGAAATATTGTTCTCCACATGAAAAATGGAAATGGTCTAATCCGTGCTACTTTCATGTATTTCATAACTCAGGATTGTGGATCCGGAGGTATAACCATTCAGGTTATGAGTTTAAAGTTTAGTGACGTGGATGCATCCGGAACCGTTACCGACATGACGGGAAATACGGAACTATTGTGCTATCTGGTAACCTTACAGTAAAAAGTAGTTTTACTGAAATATTTTCGTAAGATTTAAAATATCCGTGTCAGTCCGTAGGCACTACCAACTCCCAAAACACCCATCGTCATCATCGCATACGTTTTCATTTCGTCTGACGGCTGATAATAATCTTCCAATTTTGGTCTCCGTTATTGTGATGCTGAGTCGTCCACGAGTCTCGTAAAATTTCTTAAATCTTCTAGCGCTCTGTTTGTTTCCTCAATGTCCTTGTTAGCGTCCAGGATCTCGGCTCGACGCCGGACTTCGTCGTTCCTACGCTTTACTTTGGATTCATAAAATTTTTCTTTGGCTTTCGCAAGTTTTTCCAATGCCTGGTTATGTCTTTTCACTTCTTCCTTGTATCCTTGTCCATTTAATTTCGAGAAAAGAAATCCGGCTCCGGCAAAGGTCACGGCATTAAAAAGTCCTCCTACAACAACTGATGTAATTTTTATTTATCAATCATTTTGGAAATATATCCCTTATCTTTCAGATATCCTATGGCAAATGCGCTTCCGGCTACGGCAACAGCCAACTTCGCCGCTCCTTCCAAGATCATCGGTGCACCGAGACTTTTTCCAGCAACCTTTTTGGCAAGGTAGGATACTCCGACGACCCCGGTCGTCAGTAGTGTGGCATCGTACAATTCGTTGATCACTTCCTTCTTTGTGTCGGTCATTGTGTTTTATTATAGCTAAACCTTTTATATTCGGATCGGTTTCAGTCAAACAGGTCTGGACCACCCTGCGGTTTTGGTGCGAGTTGCGGTTTTTCTGTGGATTTGCTTTCCTCCAGCTTTTCACTTTTTTCCCGACGATTACACCACATGACGTAGAGTGATCCAAGTCCCACAGTAATACCTACCACCATACCAACTCTCTCCAGGGTAATCGCCAACCCTTCACATTTATTCTCTACATCCAAAACATTTTGCTCTTCCTTAATGGCTTCAAGTTGCGCGCGCTTCCTGGCTTTTGCCTCCTGACTTATCTTAGCAAGCCTGCGTCCTGACTGTACTTTTTTCGGATCCTTGACGTGGGTCTTCACCGGATTTGTGAGCGTACTAGGGTTCTCTTCTGACATGTTTTATTTTACTTAGTAAACTTTAAATATACACACCCTCATTTCCACGCTTCGCTTACACCCACGCCAGGTAGGGACCTGGCAAGATGGTTAAAAAAGCGAAAAATCCGAAATGGGAGGAGATCTGACTTTGAAAATGGGAGAAGATCTGACTTTCTTTTAAACCAGTCTACGCTATAGGGGACGAATACTCTTAATTTTGCTTAAAAGTGCCTCAAAATAATTTTAATGGTCCTTAATTTTGCTCAAGAGTGTCTCAAAATAATTTTAAGTAGGTCTCAAGTAGATTAGAGTTCAAAATCAACACTTTATAGACAAGGCTTTCCTACATACAAATAAAACAATCATGACGAGTTTCAGAAGAACGTATACCAAAGTTAAGCTTTACTTCAACTGTCCGGAAAAGGTGAATCGTATTGAGCGATTATGCAAGTATACTAACTATGGGGACATGACGGTCATCATCTCGACCGTAGGCGAAAGAGATTTGATTGCGAAACACAGAATTACGTTTGGGAGAGGATAGATGGGAAAGGACGCCGGAATCAAAGGTGTGGATTAGGTTTCCGAAGGTCTGAAGGGTATCCACATCCTAATTACCATTTCCGAATCCATCGATGTGATTGACTGCTGGCTCAAAAGTCCGGAGGACAGGATTCACCTGGATGAACCTACGGATATTGTGCATGATTGGCTTCCTAACTCTATAACCCCGACGGAGCTAACGGAGGAATTGGAAGAGGTGAGAGCGAAACACGAAGAGGAAAGAGTTGAGGAAACGGACGAGGAAAGGTTGATGCGCGAGTGTGAAGAAGGTGCAATGTTTGATGAATATTTGAGGGAAATGTATGAGAATAATGAATTGGTTGATACGCCGGTAAGGGCTGGGATGCGAAATGTTCTATTTGGTAAAAATTGATGGATATCGAACACGATATAATTTTAATGTATTTCCTACATTAAAATCGGTAAAATCGACAATTTATAGACAAGGCTTTCCTACATACAAATAAAACAATCATGAAGAGACCCAGAAGATCGAATAACGAGGTCCAGTTATATTTCAACTGTCCGGAAAAGATGGATCGTATTGAGCGATTATGCAAGTATATTAACTATGAGGACATGTCGGTTACCATCACAATAGGTGAAATAGGTCTGCTGGCAAAACATAGAATTAAGTTCGGGAAAGGATGGATGGGTCGAAACGCCGAAATTCGAGGTGTGGATTGCGTTTCTGGAGGTCCGAAGGGTATTATTATTTTTATTACCATTTCCGAATCCGTCGACGTGATCGACTGCTGTATCGAAAGTACGAAAGACACGAAGGACGAGATTTGCCTAGGCTTACCCACAGATGTCACAAATAATTGGTTTCATACCTCTATGTCCTGGGAGGGGTGGTCGGAGGAAAGGACTGAGGAAAGAGAGAGGCCCGAAGAGGAGGAGGAGATTATGGCGGAAATGCGGATAGGAGAGATGGAAATGCTGGAAGAAATGAGATGGAGGCCGAAATGCGGGAAGCTTTATAAGAAGATCCCACGGTATAATTTTAATGTAAGAGATGCATTAAAATTTTGATTTAAAGACCTTTACCAGAAACCTAGTGAAGACACAGAAGGTTATCGAGATTACGATACGGATAACATAAAGTTTCATCGTTCTTATCATTCTCCAAAAGGGGCATATTCTCCCTGTTGAACCGGTCTAGCTCACTCGGCTTTCCCAATTCGAGAACGGAGTTAATTCCGCTGTATTCCTGACACTCCAACCAACACCGGATTGGAATGAAATTCCTTATCAATCTCGTTGATTCATAAATCCCCATTATAGTATTATTTATGTTACTGTATACTGGAACTGCGGTACACATGATGTGATGCTGATCTAATTCAAATCCAGTTCTTTCATTCACATAACGAAACCCAAAGTAAATGCAGGCTCCACGCCCTAATATGTCATTAAGGTCGGACAGGATTTCCGGACATCGAAAATAGAACTGAACATATCCCATGGTTTTATTTGTAGTTGGTGTTGTCTATAAAGTGTTGATTTCAAAGGGCATCAATACCGCTGACGGGTAAATTGTTTCCGTACTCGACCTTGTCTTCGCTTTCGTCCTCACCAGCCATAACCGATCGGTCACTCCACCATATCCTAAACAGGTTCCCCATACCGTAGGAACGGACACGTAGAGACGGTATGGAAAACACTCATAGGCGTACCGTGCGGGGGGGGGGGGCGGGGGGTGGCGGTAGCCCCCAGTTTTTTGGGCAGTCGGGCAATTGTCGATCAACAGTCGGGCAATTTTGGTTTATAATAAAAATAAATGGGACAAATTCTGTCAAGTTAGTCGGAAATGCAGTAAATTTTGTGGTCAATTTTGTGTTGTTTGGAAAATATGTGTGATTTTCCGAAAAATTTTGGTATGTCCGGAAAATTTTTGGACCCCTAAAATGGTACACTGATCGAAAATTTTTCGGCGACGGGAGGGGAGGTCGCCAAAATAATTTTTCCGGAAAAAAATTTTTCGGAACTAGTCGGGCACAATTCCGAAATGTCGGGCAAATTTCTTACCGCCCCCTAATTTGTTCCTTCCGGTACGCCCATGGAAAACACCCACGACTCTGCAAAACCGGCAGGCCATCCCAAATTAATGCCGAACCCCAAACCGTCCAGCGTGAAGTTGTCTATCTCTCCAAGCGTCACATCCTCCGGAATGGTAAGAAAAATAATAATACCTATCGGTGGACCGAAAGGGATCGCGTTCACACCCATAATAATGGCGTTCGGTTCCGTTCTCGTGTCCTCAAACCTAACCTCGACCTGTCCATCAACTCTTTCGTGTGAAAAGGTGACGCTGGCGTCCGCAAAGTCGGTGCATCTACACTTCTGCAAAATAAACTCCGTCATTTCTACGGAACATTCGAAGTATAGCTGGACTCTCCTGTATGCGTCTGTGATTCCCTGCGAACCTTCAGTTATGATTGTTTTATTTATATCTGAAGAGCCCTGTCTATAAAGTGTTAGATCCTTCTGGGAAATTTCCAAAAAGTGCTTTTAATCCATCATGAGTCCTTGTACACTCTCATCTCTGTCGTCCATGATGAAGAAAATTTGACAGAATTAAAATTACTATAAAATCAACATTGCACGCGCAAAATCTTTCACATATCAATAAAGAGGACTTCGTCAACAAGTCCTAAAACTCCGAACCAGTCAAGTTGAAAACAAAATCAACTTTAGGATTAGTTTAAAGGTAAAACTTTTCCATATAATAAAAGGACTCTATCCTACTGTCAGTCCTTGTCGGTCGGTTGTTCATCTTTCCTACTTTCAAACACTTTGGGTTTGGAAAACAAAATCAACTTTAGGATTATTTTTCCATATAATAAAAGGAAAGATGAATAACCGACAAGGACTTACGGACAAAATAAGGGAATGGTACAACTGGCTAACCACCCACGTACCGTCATCCATAAGGAAAGGTGTATCCAACGCCTTCAACACAATGAGGAAGAAGGTAGTAAAACTCTACAACAACAGCAAAGAGGAAGAAGACCAATGGCATGACGCAATAAAGCACCAGAAAACGGAAGACGAGGACGAACAGTGGTACGACACTAACCCGGAAGAGAAGCTAACACCCATTCTAACCAAGCATGGTATTAAGAAGAAGGTAAAAACGTACGTCATCAATCCTAACAGTGCGTACGACCCGGCTTACTTTCTGACCATCACAAAAGACGAGGTCACAACGCTGATAAATTCCGAAACGGAACCAAAAAATGTAAGCATATCCCTAGCATGCGAAATTGTAAGAAATGATCCAAAAACTGGGGAGGAAGTATCAACCGTCGCCCACTTCAGGTCAAAAACCCACAAACTTATCGGTATAGATGACGCAGAAGAGGTTCTCTCCATCATGAAGGAAAAAATGCTGAAGTCCTTTTCAGAGTACCAAAAGCGTGGTAGTGGGTGGACGATCGGAAGGGTAGATTTACTCGAAATCCGTATCGGAGAATTCCGACCACTTAGGGGAAAAAGACACGAACCCCTACCTGAGTCAATCAAAAGAAGGAAAGCGATCGTCAATATGAAGATCAATGACGATAAGTGTTTTAAGTGGGCTGTGACTCGCGCGTTGAATCCTATTAACATCCATCCCGAAAGAATTTCAAAGGAACTCGAAGAACAGTCCAAAAAGCTAAAATGGGAAGGAACAGAGTTCCCAACACTCCTAAGTAATATAAAAAAATTCGAAGAAAATAACAACATCGGTGTAAACGTATTCAGTGCCGATGAGAGTCTAAAGGTGTACCCGTTAAGACTAACCAAGCAGTCCAACCCTATAAACGTATTCCTATGGAAGAACCACTACAGTGTTATCAAGGACCTATCCAGACTCGTAAGCGCACAGATTAGTGAGGGAAAGCGCAGAAAGTACATCTGCAACGTAACCGTTGCCTCAACGCATTTGGTTTGGATGAGCTTCTAGAAAAGCATCTGGCCGGAGTTATGTTCGGACAATGATTATCAGAGGAATGATTATCAGAGGCTTGAGTATCCGGAACCCGGTAGTACCATCAAGTTCGAAAATTATGAGAAAACACAACCCGTTCCGTTCGCCATCTATGCGGATTTTGAGTGCTACATTGAAGGGTTGGACACAGTGGAACAAAACCTCAACAAGTCAAGCACCGTCCAATATCAGAAGCATGACCCCAGCGATTTTACTACTACAGGGTGTATCAAAATAAACGCAATTCATCTTTTGTGCTTAATAACTTTCGAAATACTATTTCTAGTTAAACGCTTTTAGGCTTACTTCAAAGCCTGTTCTTTTCTCTTTCAAACAAACTATTATCCTTGTCTCCAATGCTAGTAATAATTGCACAGGAAAAGATTTAGTAAAACCTATCATTTTTAGTTGCCGTTTAATTATGCAAGTTTACTATGTTATTGTTTAGTCAGTTCAAATGTTAGAATTTTCTTCTTTAAACTTTCATGTTGTCGTCACTACATCTGGAAAACCACGTAAGAACAAATTAGAAGTATTTTAAAAGAGATCAGGTTGTTTGAAAATCCTAAACGAATGCTAAAAATCGTCAAAACATTCTGGTGTCTGAGCCAGAGTGTCATCGATTTGCGATGTAATGTAAACAGAAATTATAGCAAGTTGATGTCAGTCAGCGGTGAAAATAGTGGAAGAAAAGTCGTAATTATACTTATTGTTACAATCCATTTAATAAAATGCAACATTTTTTGTGTTAATGAAAAAATCAGTTATTTTCATGAGAACGATTTGTTATTCCATCTCAATTTTTTTAATCTCCAATCGCAATAACGTAAAGTATTATTACCCGCGAACCAATGAGTCAAATTTAAGAAACAACCCACTGTTAGAAAGCTGAATGGCTACGCTTTAAAATGAATGTAAACTTTAACGTTTTCGTCCATTATTTGTTTAGCAATTTACATTTCAGTCGAGGATTGCGCTTTTTTTTATACACCCTGTAGTACTATGTTAAGTGTTTCGACAATTCCATCTACAAACCCAAGCTGGTACACTACTATACCCAGCAACATGAGGGAGAAGACGTTACCAAAAAGTTTGTAGACCTTCTTGAGGAGGAGATTCGAAACATATACTATAAGTTTAAAACCGCAGAACCCATCAAGATGTCTTCCAAAGACATCGAAGACTATAAGAACGCAACCAAATGTTATGCCTACAACGGAGAATTCACTCCGGAAAACCATAGGGTAAAAGACCATTGTCACTACACCGGGGTATATAGAGATGCGACACACAACACATGTAATCTGAGGATGAAACAACCAAAGTTCATTCCGGTACTCTTCCACAACCTCGAAGGGTACGATGCCCATCTATTCATCAGAAACCTTGGGGTAAACAGCGGTGATATTAAATGTATCCCTAAAACGGAAGAGAAGTACATCTCTTTTACCAAAGAAATAGAGGTTGACGAGTTTAGGGGTAAGGATGGTAAGAAAAAGAAGGTCAAAAGGGAGCTAAGGTTCCTGGACTCGTTTAAGTTTATGGCAAGCTCCCTGGACAAGGTTGTCAAGGGTTTGGGAAAGGATGACTTTAGGAATTTGGACCTAATGTCAACATGTTTCACCAAAGAACAAAAGGAGCTGCTCAAACAGAAGGGTGTTTACCCCTATGAATACATGGATGGTTTCGACAAAGTCGGAAAAGCGTCACTTCCACCGAAAAGCAAATTCTTTAGCAAGCTGAACAATGCAGATATCAGTGATGCGGACTACAGAAGAGCCCAAACCGTGTGGAGTACCTTCAACATGCAAACCATGAGGGACTACTAAGACCTATACCTAAAGACAGACGTTCTCCTCCTAGCGGATGTGATGGAAAATTTTAGGAAAATTTTAAAATTCGTCGAAGAGCCATGGCTGAAGAAATATATCCAACTCAATACGGACCTGCGTACCAAAGGTACGGTCATGAACAACTCGGTATTCGGAAAAACAATGGAAAACGTCAGGAATAGGATTGACATCAGGCTCGTCAACGACGAGAAGAAGTGGAACAAGTTGGCCCAAAAGCATAACTTTAAATCCGCAACCATCTTCTCCGAAAACCTTGTGGCAGTCAACATGAAAAGAACATCCGTAAAGCTAAACAAACCATCTACTTCGGGATGAGCATACTCGACCTAAGCAAAACCCTCTTGTACGATTTCCACTACGAATACATCAAGCCAAAATATGGGGAGAATGCCAGACTCCTATTTACGGACACGGACTCCCTGTGCTACGAAATTAAAACCGAGGATTTCCTTAAGGACATCTCCAACGATGTTCAGAAAAAGTTCGACACCAGCAACCTCGGCAAAAGCCATCCGTCCGGAATTCCGACAGGTGTAAATAAGAAGGTTATCGAGATAATGAAGCTGGAAACGGGTGCAAAGCAGATTGAAGAGTTCGCAGGGTTAAGGTCAAAGCTATACGCATACAAAATGGCGGAAGATGGCGATGAGGAAAAAAGTGTAAGGGTGTTAAGAAAGCAGTCATAAAAAAGGAGATAACATTCGACAACTATATGGAATGTCTCTTCAGCGGCAAAAGGCAATGGAGGAGAATGAATGTCTTCAGAAGTAGGTTGCACGAAATATATACGGAAAGGGTTGTTAAGGTAGCTCTATCGGCAAACGACGATAAGAGGGTGGTTTCCGAGGACGGAAGAAACACAACGGCAATTGGACATAAGGATCTAAGGAAACAGTAAAGCATGCGCGTTTATTTTTAATGTCCGCAATGGATATTAAAAATTTATCCTAGGTTCACAGAAGCTTCTTCCAAGGTTCCGCCACCTTTTCCCTCAAATACTTTGCCTCCTGAAGCTTAACCTGAACGGAAACAATGTTTCCGGATAGGTATATGCTCAAAACCCTAATCAAAGCATCCAAGTAGAAGTGTCCATCGCGCTCCTTCATCGGACTTATGTCCCCGCTCCCGTCCTCTCTGTACGTCGCTGTACTCCGGTCAATTTTCGCATACAAAACCGGTTGCTTTCCGTTCCGATAGAAACATCTCATCACATTGGTGTCGGGTTTTCCGACGACCGCAGCACACCTCTTCTCCACCGTTTCCAGAGCTGATACGAATTCCGTATGTGTTCCAACTGCTAACGGAATGGTATAGTTGTCCTTTCCGAACTTGTTGTTTTTGTTAATTCCATAGGCCAGGCAGTTTTCCAGCTTGAGTAAAAGAGGTCCACCGTTTCCGCCACAAGTCCTATATTTTTAGACCCAAACCTGTTCCTGACGGAATCCTCAAATGCGAACGAATTTTCGGAGAATAATACTTTGGTCTAATACTTTGGTTATAGACATAGTGCCTTTATTATATAGGAAAGCCTTATCTTTAAACCGTTTACTGATGGGAAGACTTCGGGAAGACTCTAACAGTCGGGTGGGGCGGAGGCTTGTAGGAGTGGGAGGTGGTTCGAGCATGCGTGGTGGGTTTTTCAAAAGGTGCGTAGGCGGTTTTTGAAAATTGGTGGTGCGCTGGATGGGGAAGAGGTGGCCGGTAGGCTGTTCCGAGAGGGGCGCGAGGGATTGTGGTAAACCGGAAGTGACGTCATCAGATGCGCGTAGGAGGTGCGCGCATACGTGGTGGGTCCACTATAATTCGTATTACATGAAGTTCTTCCAAAATGTCCTAGAACCCACACTCTTACACTACACGCGTAAAAATTGAGAAAATCAACAACTTGTTGCAAGTTGATATCGACAGGCGTGAACAAGGTTGTGCGGCCCACTATGAACAGTATTGTCAACATGTTGTTACAGCATTGTTCACCGTAACAACTTGGAACAACAAGGTTGACAACTTGTTCATAGTTGGCCGCACAGCATTGTTCACGCCTGTCGATATCAACTTGCAACAACCTGTGCGTTTTTAGCCGTGTACTTATACCTGTTATAGAGCATCAAGCTTTAAAACACTACCCGGAATCAAAGCAGTTTTCCCTCAGCCAAATAACTAGAGAGGAACTTGTAGCCGTACAATGAATACGCCTTCAAATAAATCTCCCGGTATGGATAAAGTGACTACAAAGGTTATAAAAGATTGCCTATCCACTGTTTCCAAGCCTTTAACTTAACAGAAATAATTAATTTATCGTTCACCTGCAATATATTTCCCACGGCTTGGAAGATCGCTGAAGTAGTGCCCAGTGTTGTAACGAGTCACCTACAGGTCGAGTCACTCAAAGGTCGAGTCACTCAAAGGTCGAGTCACGAGTCGAGTCGAGTCATTTCAGTTTTTGATCGAGTCGAGTCAGGGGCTTCACTCGAGTCGAGTCGAGTCAGCGGCTTCACTCGAGTCAAGTCGAGTCACTGATTTAAGTCGAGTCGAGTCAATTTCTAGACTTTACTTAAGCTACCCTAGCTTGCTGTCGGAAATTAGTAATCAAATTTGCGTTTTAAACTAATTACTTTAGTCATTTAAATTAATAACAGTATCTGGGCAGCTATAGGCTGTGCCAATATCACAGTTCCAGTCAACCACGTGAGATGTCTCATCATACCTGCTGATCGAGTGTAGGTACATACAACTAGCAAAACTTGCAACTGGAGTCAGAATTAACAAAGAATAGACTTTAATTAATTAACAACGCTTTGTAAGTTGATTTGAAATTATATAGCCCTTCATAAATACCAAAAATGAAAATAGCCTGTCAGAATTAGTATAAGTACAAAACATTTTGAGACTTAATTTTAAAAAAACTGTGGCACTAGCGTTGTTTCTAAAAACAGAAATGTAATATACTATAGGTATGCCCGTCAGGAATATATTCTATGCAAATCCCATATATTTTCTGATAAAGTTTCAAAGTTCTCATTGTTTACAGGGCTCGTTGTTCTTCCCAAGCAATACAATCACAATAATTGTGATGAATTTACTATGTACAAGTTGTAGATGAGTTGACTCGAGTCATTTACGGCAAAATCAGCAAGTCGAGTCCGAGTCGAGTCATTTGGGGCTGTTGACTCGAGTCGAGTCGAGTCATTTTTCGTATTGGACTCGAGTCGAGTCGAGTCGCTGAAAATAGCGACTCGAGTTGACTCGAGTCAGAGTCAATGACTCGACTCGTTACAACACTGGTAGTGCCTCATGTAAAGGACGGAGATAGTGAAGTTGCAAGTAATAATCGACCAATCTCTTTATTAGTGACCAATTCTAAAAATTGTGAAAGAATAGTCTTTAACCAACTGTCAAATTATCTTGAAGAACACATGCAATCGACTTACAAGTCATCAAAGTGGCAACAAATGTAAACCCAGTTCGACTGAATCAGTTCATTTGTTGGTAACTGGCCATATTCTCAATGCTATCGATGAAAAGAAAGTCACCGTTCTTGTTTTGCTTGATTTGAGTAAAGCATTCGATAGTATCGACCACGATCGTCTCCTTCACAAGTTGCAGAACTGTGGAATCTCGTCAAATACACTAGAGTGGTTTCGGAGCTATCTTACCGGACGAATGCAAGCAGTTCGGATTGGCGGTGAAATATCGGACTTACTTCCCATAACGAAAGGAGTTTCACAAGGTAGTATATATTGGACCCTTATTGTCAGTCAATTTATTCATCAATGATCTTCCTTGTATCCCGCTAAACAGTGAACTGGAAAGTTATGTAGATGGCTCTAAACTGTTTTTATCATTTTGCATTGGAAAATTACAAGATGTAGTAACGACAGTAAACAATGACCTTTTCACGGTTGCTACTTACTTAAGTAACAATTGCCTGCTTGCTAACCCGGATAAAACGAAGATTATGTTCTTTGGAACACACAGCAGATGCTGAAACACATTCCAGCCGATACCTCATTTACGTTTCTCGGGAAAACTGTGCAACCAGTCCAAAATGCCAAAGATCTTGGCTTAATTATAGACCCAAGTCTATCTTTTGATGAACACACCAAGCAATTGGTATCATCTTGTATGAAGAAACTGCATCAAATAAATAGAATCAAGAACTTATTTAGGAAATCAACTCTGGAAATGATAATACAATCTTATGTCTTTTCCAAGCTGTTTTATTGTTCCAATGTTTGGTCCTCAACGAGTCAGAAGAACATTTGTAAACTTAAGACAGTGCAAAATTTTGCTGCATGCATAATGACAGGATCTCGTAAATACGACCATATAACACCACCTGCATTAAAGCAACTGAAATGACAGTCATGACACACGGGGGAAATTTACAGACCAATACCCTTTGCCTTTGGGTCTGCCAATTTCCCGTTTGTAATACAAAATGACTGAAAAACGGCAAACTTCGCAAGGCTATATTATATTTGGAATATTACTAATTTTGTGATGCTCTTTCAAGCTGTAATGAAATTTTTGCCTAGACTTGTTGAGATCAAAATTTTGTCTATTACGCAAGTGGTCAATTTAAGGCTGCTTTCAAGTTACGCATTTTTTTACGTATACGTCTTTCTAAATTTTATATAAATAGTAATTACTTCAAAACATACATTTAAAAACGGTAACACTTCAGGGCGCATAGCCACCTGATTTTCAAGGGACCGTTTGTTACACACTAATAATTATCACACTAATTAATTAATTTACCTTGTTATATAGCAAGTGTCAAGTTCAATTTTCCTGTTTGCCGATTGGTCAAAACAGTATCACGTGCTGGTCCACAAAACGTCATGTTCACTGCTTGCTTTGATGAGAGGGCAACCGGTCACCAATGAAACAATTATTGACCGGTCAACAATAGAATGGGTGCAGTGCGCATGCGTGTCAACCGTGAAGTTCCAAAGTTCATTTTATTAACACCGCGGAAAAACGTCTGCGCATGCACCAAATTATGAAAATATGGCGGGAATTTGAATATCAATTTCTAAAACAAAAACATGCTTATTAATTGGTCAAAAATTAGTAAAACAAACGAGAAAATATAGCAAATGGGTAGACTAGACATTAATTGAAAGCGTCCTGGCATTTAAAGTATGCAATGAAATATAATTCATGTAAAAAAATGTTGATTTTAACGGACACGACTTCGAAAATTTTTGCAAAATTATTCAAAACAAAAATTCAAACTAAAAAGTTACGAAAACTCTCGAAAAGTTAAGCTTCTTAACCCACTCAAATTGTAGAATAAATCCTAAAGTTTAATTATTGTGAACACGCAATTTTTTTATATTTGGCGACACAGTTTTTTTTAAAGAAATGTATCTCAAACGAAAATTCGGAAATTGTCGTTGCTTAGTTGATAAACAAAATGTTTCAGACGATAAATTTGTCAACAATCACCTTTAGTTCATGTTCTTGTACAATACAATTTCTTGAACCTTCTTGCTGTATTTATTCCTAGTTTTTAGAATGACATGTTTATTTTTGTGCTTGAAATCTGGTTGTAAAGACGCACAATGAAGTCACTCCTTTTTACCGCCATTTTGAGCCTTCGGAAACGTTCGGAACAGCTTCTCATCAAGTTCGCAATACTATTACAGGTAAGGTTGACGCATGCGCAGACGTTTTTCCGCGGTGTTCATTTTATTAAACTTTTTTTATTAAACATTTACGGCATTCCATTTATCTAGTTTTGGTTTCAAAGTTCACTCCAATAACGACCAATAACCAGATAATTATTTCATGATACCGGACACTTATATACTATTGATGAAAACACTTATTTACTCGGGAAAGCATGTGTTTTGTGGCCCCGAGACCGCCGTCGTTTAGCCTGCTCGCAGACGTTGTTATTCTTACGCCAAACGACGAAAACTAACGTCTGCTTACCCGAGCGCCAAACTGAATTCCGTTATGTCAACCAATCAGAATTTACCTTCCAAATTCTGGAAAGCCACGTCAGTTGATTTAGGAGCGGAATAAATATAAATAAATATTTTGAAAGCAGTCGTCGGTTGAATACTTGAATTTTGGTCAAAATTGCACATAAATTGAATTTAAAGATATTGATACTTGTCTAGGCAATAAAATGCACCATTAATGATCAGATTTGGATATTGAAGATGTTCGGTTATATTTAAAACGCGGACAGGATGGCATATTTATACTGTAATCTGTATGAATCTAGGCCAGACAGCATCAAATGCCGAATATATTTCGCTGAAATTTGAACTTTTGAGTTTTGACGGACGTTTATCTTTATAAGACAACAAAATTCGGAAGACAGGAAATGTTATATAATATTGTGACTTTGAAAGCGAAATATTAGCTTCAAAGTAAACTAATTTGCTGTTTGAGCAGCCTGCACTTCTGAATGTAAACTGTAAACACAACACAAACCCGAGAAACTTGTAATTGCGCCGAGATGAATTTTCCAATTCGCCCAAACTTCGAAAGACGAAACGTTTATACTCTAACTTGGCTATACTTTCCTACATGATAAGGGACCGGTCATAAAGTAACTGCTAGGGTGGGCCGGATGGAAAAATAGGTTTTTCAAAAAAAAACTGGTGGCCCATCCTGAGAACCAAGAAAACATTTCAAAGCCCATCGTAGGTCATTGGAAAAATTTCATGACCCATCCTGCTATACATGAATATGTACAGTATAGCAGTCACTTTGATCAAACCATGCACTAAGTCACTTTGTCATAACTTTATAGAACAAATTAATTGGTTACATATTTAGTAGTTTACACACCAAATAGATGTGATTTGAAACTATTGAAGAATCATTATTTGATTGATATCTCTCTTTATATTAATATTTTAAAATAGTACAAAGAAGTTCTTGTGATACTGCCCTCAATCCTCGAAGATTGTTTCGATGAGTATGTCTCTGATCATGACGTGCATTTCAGCATTTGTGCTCGACTGCTCGTCTATTGCTTTGATCTTTGAAGTTAGTAAATCTTCCACAGCACTCAGCTTACAATTTTGTAGTGAGCCAACAACATTTGTTGACAAACGGGAGTTTTCTCGGATATCAGTGCGAATTCTATTGGATTTTTTATCTTTTTTGCATCATCGTGATCATTAGAATGTAGATTGATAGGATTAGGTGCCACTTTATGTAACGCTACACGAAGTAGTTGCGTGCAAAAGCTGTACTTGGGCCTGGGGCATGCTGGCTCAATCGTCACGGTTTTAAAACAACATAGACTTGCTCCAAGTCTCTCTTTCATTGTCATATCGATCCACTATAGTGTACATTACATGACGTAGTACGGAGGGGTGGAGCGAGAAAGAGAGACTTGTCAACTTCGGAAAATCTCGGTTGTGTTTATATGTATTGATCTAGCACATGTAAATAACATGAGTTCCATTATAGTAAATGATAAAGAAAAAAATTGAAGGAAAAGAATTAAAGCAAGTCTTGCATTTTCGGTTCAGTTTTGAACCGAGATTTTCCGAAGTTGACAAGTCTCTCTTTCTCGCTCCGCCCCTCCGTACTACGTCATGTAATGTACACTATAGTGGACCGATACTATATGACAATGAAAGAGAGACTAGGAGCAAGTCTAAAAACAACATGGCAGATAAAATTCAAACATTTCTTGAGAAGAACAACCTTTCACAGTATGTCAACAAGTTCATGGAGCTTGGGTATGATGATCTAAAGCAACTCTTGGACATGCAGCCAGAGGAAATTATGGATGTTTTGAAAGAAGTTGTCCTGTATGACAAGTCGGTCATCAGTGTCAGCGAAAACGATTTCTATCTGCATTCTGCAATAGAAATTTTGAGTTCGAAGACCAAACATGGAGTACAGGATAAAAACATGGCAAGCCAGCCTACTACACCAATGTCGAGTGTTTCCCACAAATATGTTACAACTTGTAAGTATATATATTTTAACATATTTTGCCTAGCGGATATTAAAAACAAAGAGAATTTTGGAAAAACCGAGGGCCAACAACAGCCAAAGATTTGTGGATTCCTAATCCTGGAAAGCCAATGAACTCAAATTTTACGACAACAAATTGGATGGACAACAGTCACACAACAATCATTACTAATTGTAATTTATTAACTGTAGGAAAATTTCCTACAAAAGTGATGCCATTAGCGATTGTCTTAGGGATTCATTTATCGCATCGCTTGATTTAAGTTTGTTTTCGAGACAGGTAATGGTATTTTTTAATTCGTTTATCTCCCTATTCCTTCCTCGAACCAAAATAAATATATCAGCCTCCAACTGACTACATTTCTCCTTTTCCTTAAGAAGCTCGTGTTTAAGTTCACTTATTTGTTCACTATCACTATCCTGTGAATTGTAAGCTGCAAGAAACTTAGTTTCTATGTCCCTGCACATGATTGCTATATCGAGCTTAACTCCCTCCAAATCAGCAGCTAAAATTCTACACTGACAGCCAAGTTTGAAATCATGCTCTATACTGACCTTTTGATGATTATCATTTAGTTCAAAGTCCTTAATACAGTGATTAGACATCTGTTCAGGTTAATCAACAGCTGAGTTTATAGTTGCAATCGAACTATGTTTGGCCGACACACATACATTGTTTGATAAACCGTCGTCTTTAGAGATGCCTCTGCACACACATTTATTAACGCGTCAACCAAACCCGAGCTTTCCTCACCGTGAAATACGAGTGTATTTAGTTTCTTGGGGTACCAAGTTATTGATATATCTAGATTATAGCACGTAAACTTTTTCGAACAACCGCCTGGCGAAGACCATTTGCCATCCAATTTAAGATCGCATGCGACAAATTTCTGCAATATATCAAAAGTTCCAATCCATTTAATTCGTTTACTATCATAACTTAAGTTGGAAGAAGCTATATCATTACAAATTTCTTTAGCGTTCCATATTTTCGGGATATTTTGATGGAATTTGTAGAGCTCACAAAATTAAAACTGTCCGCCATTTTGATTTTGTACTGGCTTTTATTACTCAGTGGTTACCGAAAATTACCATATAGTGATCGAGAAAATAACAACTGGAATTTCATTTCCTCAGGCCATAGCTCAGGCACAGAGAACACCTTTCATGCACCAATTATCAATCGCTTGCATTGTTATTGGTGATATTGACAGATTTGATAATATTGACGCACAAGTTAAAATTGGATTACCCTTGTTTTGATACACCCTGCAGTGGTGGCTGTGGTGCTTTACCGTACCTGAAAATGGGTGTAGATAAAAGGCGGACGGATAAAAAGCGGACCGCGGACGACGGACGGCAGACGGCGGAGCAATTTAGATACACATAATTACTACTGCAACTAATTATAATACCCTAAATTAAAGTATACCAGCCGTAGATCTGTGAAATGGATATGTTTTCACCCGTTCGAATTTTTAGCAATGGAATTTTTTAATCAGCATTCAATACGTATGTATGATAGGAGGCTGTTCGCCGTCTTTCGCGTGAAGCTTTTGGAAATTTTGGTGCTTCGATATATAACTGCCCTTATATCACACTTGCGTCGGTTTTCTTTGTTCGTCCGAGGTTTATAACTAGCTTATAGACCTTGAATAAATGATTGGATTAAACTTGTAGACAAAACGCGAGAATTTTTCATTAAAAATTTTTGAAAATGACAAAATATGTTGGAAAACCTCCGCAAGTGTGATATAAGTTAGTTATAAACCGAGTAAGTCGGTTTATAACTGTATATCAATATATCAGTTATAAACCTCCTACTCGGTTTATAACTCTTACTAACACTGCCATTGAATTAAAATATTATTAGGCGGGGCTATTACATGACATTCACTTGCTGTCATTCTTATACTTTAAATTGTGCTGACTTATAATCCCCGTTTTATTTACTAAAAGGCTAACACGTAGCCAAGGTCCATTCATGTGAGTGCTTACACATTACTATTTCACTGTATATAAATGTAGAACGAAATTATAACCTTCCCTAAGCCCTTCAAATATACATATAATAGAATATACAATATTTACGCTGCCTACATATATATATATATATATATATATATATATATATATATATATATATATATATATATATATATATATATATATATATATATATATATATATATATATATTTACGGACCGCTTGTCAACCAATCAGAATAGAGAATTTTGAAAAGCTGAACGAACATATTATAGATAGGGGTATTGGGTTACCTGTGGGTAACAAGCCTGTTCGCGGGCGACCTGAGTATCGGGAAAAACAACGAACATGTGAGACTTTGTGAGCGAGAGTTTTGTGTAAAAAGTGGGAGTTTTTATAGTTTATTTAAACTTTACTAAAACATAATGCGAGAGTTTTAGTGTGGCGACACAAGTTCGGCACATTTTGGTGCCGTGACCAGGATTGAACAACGAAATATTTGCGGATAAAGACGAGAAATTGAGGGTATTACGAAATCCAAGATGGCGGACGAACTTGAACAACAAGAAATTGAGGAGAATAATACGGTAGAAATCACTCAAGAGGAGAAAGACCAGGAGAAAAAGATTAGAAAAGAGATTGTAAAGCTGCAGTTTTATCTCGAGGACGTCGACGAATTATTGGAAAGTGAGGATTTTAATGAAATCAAACAAGTATGCAAGCGAACACAGCAGATTCAGGATAATATGAACGACTTGGTGTCGCATTTACAAGAATTAAAAATTGAGCTGGGAAATTCAACACAAAGATCTATTAGACAGTGGACAAGAGATTTGAAGGCAGAGTATGCACCACTATGTGAGAAACGTGCGAGGTTGTGTAGGGTACTAGACGATAGACAGAGACATGAAAACTTGAGAGCTGAGGAAGAAGTGGCGGTCAGAAAGATGGAGAAAGAAGAGCAACTACGTAGGCAGATCCAACAACAAGAGAAAGAAATGTGGGAAGAAAGAATGAGAGCGGAGTTAGTGCTGGCAGAGAAGAAAATTCAGATGGAGAAAGAAGCTAAAGCAAGTACATCAAAACTATCAGAGTTGAAAATATCACCCTTTAATGGGACTTCTGCTGACTGGATAAGGTTTGAGAATATGTTTTCCTCACAAGTTGACAGCAAGTCCATTTCGGACGCTGAGAAATTTGGGTACCTGTTAGAGCTCGTGAATCCGAAGGTGAGAGGTAGACTTTCGAACTTGAAGCCGGGGTCAGAAGGTTACAAAACAGCATGGGAAAGGTTGAAAATGGAATATGGTCATAATAAATTAGTAATTGCAGCTCATATGGAGGAGATTATTAAGTTACAGACGGTGAGAGGAAGAAATTACGATAAGGTATGTGAATTTTATGAAAGTCTTTGCAAAAACTATGACGCACGGCAAACGTTGAGTGAAGAAGCTATGTTAAAGGGGTTGGTGGTATCTACTTTAAATAAACTCCCCCAGGTTAAGCCTGATTTAGTACGTATTGATGATAATTGGGAAGATTGGAACATGAAACAATTGTTATCAGCATTACAGGGGTGGTTGAAGCGTAACAAAACAGAAGAGGTATCAACTAAGGAGCATGAAAACCCAAGAAAGAGGGAGCGAAACTGGTATACCCAAAAGGGGGGAGAGTTTACCAATGGTAAAGGCAAGGGCCCGGTCTGTATTTATTGCGAAGGACAGCACTGGGGAGACCAATGCACATCGTATGACTCTGTGACTAAGCGTAGACAGTTCTTTGTTGAAAAACGACTGTGCTTTAATTGTGGTCGACCAGGCCACCGCGAAAGTAAATGTCGCAGTAG